TTTGTGAGAGCTATTACATTGCCTGATGATTGGAGGATGCAAAGTACATTTAGTGGTCAGACCAGAGTGTCATATGTCCTAAAATGAGCAGGCTACAGCTAAAACTGCAAATCGATATCCACATCTTGTGGAGTTCATCCAATATGCTACCCAACATCCATGTAGATGAAAAACCTAATTATAATAGTTATTTAAACTTTATGTGTTTGTCTTAGGTTTTACACTATTTTAATATATGCCAAAATTTTCAGGATTGCTAACATGGGATAAATTTAAGGAATATTGAGCTGGGAGTGTGTAACTCAATGGTAGAGCAGTTGCCTAGCATGCACAAGGCTCTGGGAAGATCCCCAGCACAGGGGGGAAAAATTAGGAGGGGGGGAGGCATTTGGCAGCTACTTTGTTCCAAACTTTACCAAGAATTATTCACTAGTTTTGTGACAAGGACTTAGAGGCGGCTTTTGCTAAAAGCATTGACTCTTCACTTGAGCCTGCAGATGCTTAATAGGGAAACTAAAAGCAGAATAAAAAGTTTGGGGCTGGGGTTGCAGATCAGTGGTAAAGTGCTTACTTAGCACAGGTGAGATCCTGGGCTCAATCCACATAAAAACAAATAAATAAAATAAAGTTTAAATTCTTAAAAAAAAAAAAAGGTTTGGCATCTCTGCCTTCATTTTCTGTCGATCTTAAAACTTTGGGTTAGACTCCTCAACTCTGCACATAGGCATGTTAACCACTTAAAGAGTGTTCATCTAAAGCTGGTAATCCTCCCCCTTCAAGGCTTGAAGACACTAAGATAAGAGTATTTTCAAGATTTGCAATGAGATTGCCAACCAAATTTTACAACTAGGAGCAGCACCTAGTAAGTAGTAGAGGTCTCCAGTCATCTCCCTAAACCTGCCAGGAACAGGTTTAAGTTTAGGAAACCTGCAGGCAGATCACCCCCTTGATAAGACTGTCCTCCTCCAGGGGGGTAATGACATCATGATAGAGACTGAGGCTCTGCCCTGAGCAGAAGCAATCAACTTTCGAGAAACAAATTGCCCCCTTGAACAAGTAGACTTCACTAGAGCCTTGCAGAACCAGAACTGGGATAATGATCGACCAGAAGACTGCTTAATTATACACACTTCTTAATCCCTGCCCCTATTCTTCCTTTCTTTCTAACCTGAAACTCATGTCAGTATCCCCAAAGACAAGGCTTAAAATATTGATCCCCTTTTACTTTCCAGCATAACTATATTATATGGATTCCTTTCTTGCATTTCACCATTCGTTTTTCTTTTTTTTTTATTAATGTACATTTTATCAAAATTCCATTATATCACAATGGTACACACAGTATTAAAATTTTATATAGCTAAAGGTTTTTTAACAATGAATGATAGGCACCCTAAGCAAGTATGTAGTTCCAATTATTCATTTACTGAGCTTCATTCATTCATAATATAATCATTGTCAAAAAACATACATCAGAGTGTCTGTTTTGAAAAAATTGTTTGGTGAATTACTAACAATGCAGCATGAAATTTTTATTTATTATTGGTTCATTATACCCACATCTTAATCACATAGTAAGATTGTTGTTATATTCGATAAGTTGTAGCTAAAATCATGAAATACCACATACCACATTGTACAGATTATATAAATGCTCTTATTATTTCTTCATCCTTTTCACAAATATTTATCAGCTACTTACTATATGCTAATTAGAAATAAGTTCATTATAATTATCTCAGATTTTTTTTAAAAAACTGCAGGACCTCATTTGAAAAAAGCAATATAGATTTCAAAAGTAACTATGGTTTCTCTAGTGAATAATGTGTATAGAAATCTGCTAAGATCTTGGGGTATGCAAATACTTGTTTTCTGGAGTGAACAGTCAGACCAGATGCATTGGGCCCCCCAGAACTGCACCTCTGGCCTAAGACTCTGGTTACAGTTTCAAAAATCACATTGTGGACATCTTGCCAAGGATGGACTCAGAAGTAAAATCTGGTCACCTCTGCATGTGTAATGTAGGGGCAAATAGAAAGTTTTTGCAGGAATAAATAGATTAGAAAAAAAGACACACAAACTTATTATCATGCCTGGAGTGTGTGTAGGGGCGGGGGGATCACAGCATGAGAGTCAAACCTGAAGTACAAGACTCAAAGGAAAGGTCAAATAGTTGAGCTTAAATATCTTCTTCATTAGAGAGGAGAAATGAGGGTACAGACAATTGTTAGGGGGATAGCAAATCATTTTCAGGAGAATTCAACAATGTTGGGAAATTTACAATGGCCTGGGGACAATGTCTGTTTGGCCTGCAGAACAAATGATGGTTTGTAAATTATTCTCTTTGAAATATTGAATGAAACTGAAATCGGAGACAATACTGTGTGACAAAGCCTGGCCAGGTGTATTTCCAGGTGTGTTGACAGACTTCAGTCTTTCTTCCTGTGGCATGGATTTAGCCAGCTCTGGTTGATGAAACCTCAATTATGAAGTTTGATGAATGCATCTGATAGATAAGGGGACTTTACAGAAAACCTCTCCCTGAACTGGGAGGAGAAGAAATAAAGGCAGGTCAGAGAGGCCTGGAATCTCAGATGATTCTGTAATGGAGGTTCCTTGAAAATTGGGGATTTAAAGAAAGCCCCAGTCATTGTCCTGACTTGACCCCATTTTGCTCTTATGACCTGTTCTTTCTGGAGTCGTTTCTTCTCAGCTTATCTCACTTCCCCAAAACAATCGACCTTGCAGACAGATCACCTCATGACAGAAACTGAATTGTAAAAAACAATGATTTGGGGCTGGGGTTGTGGCTCAGAGGTAGAGTGCTCACCTAGCATGCATGAAGCACTGGGTTCGATCCTCAGCACCACATAAAAATAAAATAAAGATATTTAAAAAAAAAAGAAAGAAACAATGATTTATTTCCCTGGTACAAGAGGATCTCACAAAACCAGACCTCCTGAGATAATGACCAAACAGAGCAGGGTTTGACCAGGAGTGCCTGAATATTTATAAGATACATATCGGGCCTCTCCTACTTTTTTCTTCCCCTCTGTAGCCCTGGAGGTCTTGCTAATACTCCAAAGACAGAACATTGATTAGGACATTGATTCCCCCGCTTATGCTTTCTTCCCAGTATGGCCACACTGGATAAATTATTTTCCTACTTCACCACCACTGGTCTCTAGGATTGGACTCTCAAGGTGGTGGGTGACTAATCTGGCCTGTTGAGACCCCCAGAGTCAGGCCTCTGCCCTAGGACTGCAGTAACACTTCAAGGCCCCTCAGGATGTCAAAGCTCCAGTCTCTGGTCTCTGGGGTATTGTCTTCTGGCCTCAACAGCAATTGTCTCATCACCATGATTGCTCACATATGTGCACGCGTCTGAGGCCCATTGAATGATCTCCTGTAGAAGTGCTGACACATTCTATATACTGATGTATGTATCTTTTTTTGCTATAAATTAATATTCTTTCATTTCTCCTTTAGATTACAGTTGAAATTATTTGCAAACAGGTTTATCACCAAAATAATAATAATAATAATACATTCCAGAATAGTAAAGGAGATGTTGTAGATAATTTTTTAAATATAAAAACGGGGTTTTAATTTTCTGACTCCACCAGTCTTTTTACATTTATTACTTGCCAGGATGGAGTTAGAAAATAGCAGTGAATAATAACAAGTGTGTGAATATTTGACGATAAAAAGAGTATTTATATAACATTCCTTCATGAATTGCTTACTAATTGCAAAGAGAAAGAGCTTTGTAAATTACCTTTTTAATGGAAAAGCCTAGAAAAAGCCACCTTAATCAAATGATCAAGATTTAGAAAAATATTATATATAATATTTATATGTGTATATGTTCAGAGAGAGAGAAAGTGAGAGAAAAGCAAAATAAAAAGGGAATTAAAGATTGAAAGCCCTGATGTAACCTAGCCAGGCACAGTGGCACAAACCTGTAATCCCAGCAGCTCAGGAGGTTAAGGCAGGAGTATCGAGAGTTCAAAGCCAGCCCCATCAATTTAGCAAGGCTCTAAGCAACTTAGTGAGATCCTATCTCAAAATAAAAAGGGATGGGGATATTGCCAGTGGTTAAGCACCTGGTATCTGGTGCTTCTCCTAGTACCAAAAAAAAAAAAAAAGAAAGAAAGAAAGAAAAAAAAAAAAGGCCTAATGTAACAACTTTTAAATCATCATCTGACATTGTCAGGTATAAGCCTTTTGGGGGCTCATATTACATAAATAATACAGGAGTCCCTCCCCCTTATTTTTTATTTGTTTTCAATTACTTGCAGACAGAATAATGGTCCAAAAATATGAAGTGCAAAATTCCAGGGATAATCAATTCATAAATTTTAAACTGCGTGCCATTCTGAGTCATATGATGAAATCTGTGTCCTCCTGCTCCAACTCACCTAAGATATGAATTATCACTTTTTCCAGTGTATCTATAATGTATAACCTACACACCAGTTAGATGCTTAGTAGCCATCTTGGCTTTCAGATTGACTCTTGCAGTATCTCAGTGCTTGAGTTAAAATATAACACTTATTATATTTAATAATGGCCCCAAAGGGCAAGGATAGTGATGCTGGTAATTTAGATATGCCCAAGAGAAGCCATAAAATGCTTCCTTTAAAATTTAAAATTTTATTGCAGGTATATATGTATAGGAAAAAGCATAGGAAATATAAGTTTTGGAACTATCTGGGGTTTCAGGCAAGTACTGGAGGTCTTGGAATATATCCCCCATGGATAAGAGGAGACTGTTGTTTTTCCATTTCATAGGTGGTAAACAGTCTCATAGAAACGTGTAAGAAGATAGTAACAGTGGAGAAGGTAATATTGTGAAAGAAGAGAAAGAACAACACAAGTTGAGTTGGATTTGTGATCTTTTAAAACAAATGTGTATAGACCTTTATTAATGTACTCACCTTTATCCTGGTTTGCAAACCTTTTATAAATCCAATGAGAGGTTTGAACACAAAAGAATCTGTTCAAGTTTTTATTCCAAGCAAATAAAAAACAAAATTAAATATCTTACTCTAACCCTGCTCCAATTTAACATTTTGTCTTCTCTCAGCATTTGCGGAGGAAACTTTTGCCTAAGTCTTGCTCATTACAACCCATACAATTTTCTCCCTAAGAAGCATAAAACTGAGCATGCTCCATCCCCATCATCCTGTTCTCCCAAGTACAAAATGTTAATGTGTAACCTACCAAATCGAGTATTTAGAAAGATGGACAACAGGCTTCAACAATTTCAAAATCCTTCTTGAGACCCCTGAACCGCCCCACATTGAAAAAAGATGGACACGAGGTGGGGTGTCCCCCGAGTTCTGGGAGTGCCAGAACCCCTTGCAGAGCCCACAGTAACTGAGAGAGTGGAGTCCTAAGGCAGCCGAGCAAGCAGGACAGTGCTTCTCCTTCAGCAGCAGTTGTCTTTTTCCTGGCAAACAAGTCAGGTGCCAGAAACTTTACCCAGACTGGCAGGGACAGAGATTAGAGGAGGCAGGGGAAGGAGGGACACCAATGAAGAAAACAGAATCTGTAGAAAAAAGGGAAAGATGGTGTCAAAATGGTCACAGTTGGAAACAACTTCTGAAAATTTCATATTTCTCGAAGCATGGAAGACCTCTCAAAGTTCAGAAAAGGCACAATAAGCCTGTCATGGTGGTACCTTCCCTCTGCATGACAGATCTCTTCCCCAGAACACACAAAAGAGATCTCTCACTCAGGAGTCGAGAAAGTTATGCCATGCTCGTGTGAGCACCAGTGACTGTTGGGTTTAGTCCCTTTGTAATAACCAGAAACCATACTCTGGGGCTACCCCCACCCCCCGGGACTCTTTGCCTCATGCCATTCTGTGCTTCCATGACAGCTGGCTCTTCCTATTTATGTGTCACACCTTCTTCTCTCCTTCACCTGAACAACGCAGACACCTTTCCCAAGTTCCTTAATTAACCCTTATTTTATCTTGTAGCTATGAGGAAAACACAAAGTCATTTGGGGTCATCTCTTCAAGGTTGAGAAGCCTGAGCCACCCACCTGCTCCTGCTCGTCAAAATCAAATCTGCCAAGTGCTGAGTTGCTTGAAAATGTCCCGTTAAGTCATTTAAAGATGCAGCTCTTCATACATCTAGGAGAGCACAACCTTAATTTAAGAGCCTCCTCCCGTCACAATCATAAAACCTCTTTACAAAGTGTTCTTTACTAGAAAACAAGTTCCCGTCTGAAAATGCCATCAGCAGGTTTCTTGTTTATCTTCATTTCCTTTACAAATAGAGCTTTTTTTTTTTCATGCAACCCATGTTTTTTTTAGTCATAGTAAAGGAGTTTTTAATTAATGGGCCAGTTGTTTCTATAATGCCTTATCACAGGTTTCTATCCTCTCCTTCCTTTAGTAAGCCACCCAAATGACCAGAATTGACATTTTAATAGCTTCCTGTCCAAGAGTGAGGCTGTCAATCTCTACATCACTTCATGGCTGCAATTCTTCCTTCCACTGAGAGCTGCCAATTTGCCATTGTCTGTCTCCACCGAATCCATTTGCCTTTAAAATCCACACACCCATTTGTCAAATATTTTAGCACATAATGTTACTTTCTTGTCCCAATCCCTAAATAAATGCCTTTGTAAATTACATCCTCGACAGACTGTGATTGCTAAATTTCTATCACATTCTTCAACGTGAACTCCAAAGAATCATGTTATACAATGAGTTCAACATGATTTATCACATTCTTATGGTGTTTCTGGGAATTGCCCTGCATTTGTTCTATCTGTTCTATCAGTTAGTTGCTGGAAAGGCAGAATCTTTGCCAATTTCCTGCTTCCTCCATACAGAATTCTGAGTTTGTGAGGACAGACACAGACTCCTAATGCTAGTCTACTTGATTCAGGCTAGATAGATGAGTCACAATTTCTTTTGCCCTCCATCTTCTCTGAGAAATAAGAAAGCTAGGGGCTAGGGTTGTGGCTCAGTGGTAAAGCACTTGCTTAGCATGTGTGAGGCCCTAGTTTCCATCCTCAGCACCTCATATACATAAATAAATACCCATTGACCACTAAAAAATTTTTTTTAATAATAAGAAGAAAGCTTATTAAATGATCCCTAAACTCTGCCACAGATCTAAATCCCATGGCACTGCTATAGTCTAGATAGAGAATATTGTCCAAAGGCCCATATGTAAAAGCTCTGTCCCCTGCTGGTTGCTTTTGGGAGATGATGGAAATTTTAAGTGGTGGAGCCTAATGAGAGGGTGGCCACTGGGGGTGTTCTTTGAAGGGAACCCTAACCCTTCTCCCTCTTTTTCTCTTCACATCTGGGCCATGGGGGCCCAGAATATAATGCAGTGGTAGTGTACTTGCCTTCCATACATAAGGCCCTAGGTTTGATCCCCAGTACCTCAAAAAAAATAAAGACATGAAAACACATTCCAGCCATGAGATGAACAGTTTTGCCACACACTGTTACTGTGATGTACTTGCTGCTTCACCACAAGCCCCAAACCAATGGGGCCCATTGATCGTGGACTAAAACTTCCAAAACTGTGAGCCAAAATAAACCTTCCCTCTCTATAAGTTGATTATCTCACGTATTTGCTAACAGTAACAGAAAACTGACTGCCATAGGCTGTGTAACTATAGCTGTGACTCCGCAAAGTGCCCTCAATAATGATCTATCCAGTTCACACTGGGAGGCTATGCAGCTTCCAGATCCTCTCTCATAACCTCCCTCATAGAAGTTTCATAACCCACCCAAGAGGTAGGCAACACTGACAGTATTATTCTCATTTTGCTAATATGGAACTAAGCCCTGAGAGTGACTTGTCCAAAATACACAGCCAGTACTCAGCGGGACCTAGACTCAAACCCCAAACCCCAGATTTTTAAATTCCCAGTCTTATGCTCTTTCTCTTACAATAATGTTTCTCATAGAATTTTAATAGTTACTACATGGATTGTATAGGAAATCTCACTGTCCACTACGTGCTTCCACATAATTAATCCAGAAATATCACAGGCACATGTCATGACTCCAACATTTTGTCCTGGAAAGAATTTCATATTATTTCCCTTAGAAAATATTCACCATTTAAGACTTTTGAGGACCATAATACTGCACTATCCAAAGCTCTGTAATGAGTACTTTGTTATCTCAAAGAATTTGCCAACCAGGAGTCACAATCTTGGTGAAATGACAGCTAGCACTCAAGTAAATAAACTAGAAGGCAGAAAGCCCAAGGAAGAGGCACAGGGTCTCCTGGGAACTCTCCCCTGGGAGCATCCGAGAAGGTCTATTAGCTTCCTGGGGCTCCCCTTACAAACCACCACAAACTTAGCTTAAAACAGCAAGAAATTTTCCTCCATCAGAAGTCCAAAATCAGAGTCAGCAGGGCCATGCTCCCTCCAAAGGATCTAGGGTAGAATTCCCAGTATTCCTTGGCTTGCAGAAGAATCACTCCAGTCTGACACTGTGGTGACATGGCCATTTTCCCTGCATCTTTGTGTCCTCTCCTCCTGAAGACACCAGTCATTGATCCCTAGATTCTATTTTCAAATAAGATCACAATCTGAGAGTCCACAGAGATTCTAGTCACCATGAATCTTGGGTGGGACACTACCCAGACTACCACAGAAGGCTTCTCTGTGAGTCAAATGAAGAACACTAACAAAGCCAAAGAGATGAACCTCTACTGTCCAACTGTCAATGGAAGGAAGATATTAGAAATTCCAATAGTGGATATGAAAACGTTCTCAAGGGAAATATCATTTTCATTCTTCTCGTCTATAAAATAAGGACTATTTTTTCCAGAGAAGCAGAGTCAATAGGGAAAAAAAATAGATAATGATGACATAGATTAGATATATACATTCTATCTCAATCACACAGTCACAGAAGTTGACAACCCTACAATTGGCTGTCGCCAAGATGAAGAGCCAGGAGAACCAGTGGCTGCCCAGTCCAAGAAGCCTCAGAACAAAAGAGAGAACAGTATGCACCCCCAGCCCCAGGCCAAAGGCCCCAAAGCCTCCTGGAAATGCAAGTCCATTAACACTCAAAGGCTGAAGACCCTGCTGTTCATCGAGGGAAGCAGCAGAAAAAAAAAATGTCGCTGCTAGAAGAAAGAACAAGCATGGGTTGCCCCCTCCTGCTTTTTGGTACCACCTGGGCTCCCAGCCCATTAAATGGTGCTGCCCATGTTCAGGGTAGGTCTTCCCCACTAAGTGTGCTGACCCACACATTAATCTTCTCTCAAAAACATCTGCACAGATAACGCCCAGAAGCATGCTTTACCAATTCTCCGAGCATCTCTCAATCCAGTCAAGTTGACATTCAAAATTAACCAATTAACCACCATTGCTTGCCTCTGGGGGAAGAAAAAAAAAAAACTAAAGATTCTGACATCAGCAATAGAGAAGAAATCCATTCTAAGAGGACTCAGGAGTGATGATACGAAAACAGACAAATCCACAGGAGAGACGCACCAAGGGGAGCAGTTTGAAAGTTGGGAAGACAGTGTCCTCGTTTCCTCAGGCTCCTGTAACAAAATACAGCAGACCAAGTGGCATAAACAACAGACACACGTTCTCACAGCTCTGGAGGCTGGAGCCCAGGATCAAGGGGCCATTAAGGTTGGTTTCTGATGAGACTTCTCTTCCCTGGTTGTAAATGACACTTTCTTGCTGTATTTCCCGAATGGCTTCTTCTCTGTACACACAAGGGAGAAAGAGAGCAAGTTCTGGTAGCTCCTCCTCTTCTTAATAAGGACACCAGTTCTATCAGATTAGGATCCTATCTTCATAACCTCATTTCACTTTCATTACCTCCCTAAGTTCCTATTTCCCAGTACAGTCACATCATGGGGTTATAGCTTCCACCTATACATTGGAGAGGGAGATCACAATTCAGTCCCTCACAGATGAAATGAGGCCAAATTAAGATGAGTCAAGAATTCAAACTAGCCAGACATGGTGTCACACACCTGTAATCCAGTAACTTGGGAGACTGAACCAAGGGGATTGTAAGTTCAAGGCCAGCCTCAGCAACTTAGAGAGACCTTGTCTCAAAATAAAAAATAAAAAGGGATGGGGATGTGGCTCAGTGATAGAATACCCTGGGTTCAACCCCAGCACTGAAAAAATAAATAAATAGATAGATAGACAGACAAACAAAGAATTCTAACAAAGCCAAAGAGATGAACCTCTACTGTCCAACTGTCAATGGAAGGAAGATATTAGAAATTCTAATAGTGGATATGAAAACATTTTCAAGGGACATATCATTTTCTTTCTTCTTGTCTATAAAATAAGGACTATTTTTTAGGAGCCTTTTCAGACTAATAGTGGATGATTGCTGGCTGCATTTTAGAAGATTACTGTCTTAGAATTTCTTACTTTCTCTGAGATAAAGCCTATGATGTAATGTCACCAAAAAAGAGCAAATTTGTAAAGGCTATTTTTTTTTATTCTTAAAGAGTTAATTAAATAGAGCAGCTTCCACCAAGAGCCCTAAGACCCTACTAGTTTTTAAACAGCATCATCAACTTAACATTAAAATAAAATAAGATATATCTATGAGATTAAGAAAAAATTCCTACAGTTTTGGCCTGGGTGGCTTGTAACACAAAGGGTATTTGGGGACATTTTTCTAAGGACTTACTTATATCCAGTTTCCAAAAGAAATTTTGTTCTTTTTTTTAAAAAAAAACTCTCTGTTCAGTAGAATGTGAATTGATAAGCTGGACTGAATCCCAAAGAGCCAGAGCTGACCAAAAAAAAAAAAAAATCACTCATTCTAATTGTCTCACGTCACAGACAAGGAAACAGAAGCCCAGAGGTAAGCACTCACTGACTGGCCTGAGACCCCAGAGCTACATGTTGGGTAAGCTCACTTTATAGGTTTGACTGAGGAGAAATCATAATTGCTTTAAAATTCAATGATTATATGGTATTTGACATGTGTCCCTGGCACTGTTGAAAGTCATTTTCTCAGACATTAATGTGCATATTAAGTATTTAGGGATCTTATCAAAATGCAGCTTCTGATATGGTAAGTTTAGGCCAGGCCTTAAATTCTGCATTTCTAACAAACCCCCCAGCTATTGTCGATGGTGATGGTCAGAAGATGGCACTTTGATGAAATATGATATGTCAAGAGCTATGTAATGTTTTGAACAACCAATAAAAAAAAAGAAGATGGCACTTTGTGTAGCAAGTGCCCAAGTACTTTATAAAATATTATTTATTTTATTTTCCAAAATAACTCTGTTCCATCACAGATACACAACTGCAGCTGCCCTGATTTTACAGAGGAGGAAACTAAGGCACAGTAAAATTAAATGACTTGCCTCGGGTCACACAGTCAAAAAGGGCCAGGACCAGGATTTGCGCCCAGATAGACTAACTCTTAGCCTGTGCTCTTAACTATTACCTTACCCTGAAGTTCTTAAAAGCAATCCATGATAATCTCCAGGCTTACACATATCCACTTTCAAGGCTGGGTCATTAAGACTGTATTTTAAGTATGCCGCCATTCAAATAATGATCGTGAAAACTATTTTAAACAAAAATATCAGAATACAAAATACATCAGGCCAGGTCAGGTCAGGCCCTCTGATTACCCAGATCCACCCCTGAAGGAGGAACTGGCGTACTCATGCCTGCAATCATGAGGGAGGTTGGCTCTTCTTCTCAGCCCCCACCCTTTCCCAGAAACCACCTCCAAAGCAATCTTCACCATCACCCCGACCCCTACAACAAACGTTTTAGAAAGGGGGGTTTTGATGGAATGAAGGCTGGATAGCAAACAAGTCAGTTTGCAGGAGCCAGACAGCTGGCCACATGCCTCATCCACAGCTTTCTTTCATTCACCCAACAAACATGCATGGAGGGCTGTGTGCTGCATACCACACTAGGCGCTGGGATATAAAACACTCATTAGCCCCTGCTCCCATGAAGAT